GTAAATTTAATAACTTGATTATTATCCTCCGTCAAAGTAATTGTTTCAATTTTCATTAAAATTAAAAAAAAAAAAATCTTTGAAAGGAATATTTTTTTTATCAAACATCAAATTCCCACAACAATTGGATTGGATTGGATTGGTGTGTGTGTGTGTGTGTGTGTGTGTGTGTGTGTGTGTGTGTGGGTGTGTGTTGATAGGAGTAAACAGTTTTCTTACACAGGTATATCCACAGCACGTCAGTTTAACTCTTCCCTCGTTAAGGTTTAAACAGCGTTAAGAGCAGACTTTAAACACATAAATGGATTATTTCTGTATAATTATCCTTGGTGTCTGGGGGAGGATAAGAGGGGTAGCAGTAAGCCTTAACAAATTTCATAACGAAGACTTAAAATGTTGAGGGAACACATGAAGATTAGGCACCCCAACTTATTTCACCAGATCGTTAAACACTTTAACGCTAACCTAACCTAACCTAACCTAACTTCACATAACATAACCTAACTTAGCCTAATCTAACATAACTTATCTTAATTTATCATAACCTAATATAAAACTGCCTAATCTAACAACCTAACCTAACCTCACTTTATTTAATCTAAACTAACTCAACCCCCAGTTACCTTTAGAGTGTTTAATCGTCAGGTAGAATAAACTAAGGTGTCTAATGTTCACGTAATCACCTTTGATTACTTAAGAGAGGTACAGTAATACTCAGGACCACCGACTCGTGATAACTAACCAGAAAATGAAAGAAAATTTCATGTAGACGAAAACTTCTTTCTTATTTCTTGAACATCAAAAAAGTGGAGGCAGTGTCATTTTTGTTATTTTGTTTTTCCTTTGTAAATTAATTGACCAAACCTAACCTGAAATGATATAATTATACCCTAAATTAGGTTAGGTTAGGTTAGGTTGGTTCAGCTGAGATGTATAGTTTCATGTTCAGGACGAACAAGAAATCGATATAAAATATACGAAAGAAGTTTTCTTCTACAGAAATTTTTTCTTACGTTGTTTGTTATCTCAGGTCAGTGTTCTAGAGAATTACTTATCAAAAAATTAAGAAGTACAAATAAATCATTGTACTTAAGAGGCAAAGTAATCGTACTCAAATGGTTATCATCAACGGAGGATGACAAGACTAATCCCGGGCATTACGAACCTTGAGTACAGAAACCATCTTAAATTGCACTCCGAGAGACGTAGAGTGAGGGGCGATATGATCGAGGTGTATAAACGGAAGTCAGGGTTAAACAAATGTGATATAACAAAGGTACTTAAGCTATCCAACCAGGAGCGAACTCGTAACAATGGTTTTAAATTGGCCAAATTTAGATTTATGAGTGAGATAGGTAAACACTAGCTTGGAAATCGAGTAGTGGATGAGTGGAATAAGTTACTGAGCTTCATCATTAACTCGAACACGCTGGATAGCTTCAAATATAGGTTGGACGGATAATATAATTAGTTAATGAGCGATAGGGGTTGGGTGTAAACGGGTCTGCCGAGTACGAGCCACAATGGCCAGCTGCAGTTTTCTCCATTCTTATATTCTTACGCATTCAAGATGCTCTCAATGGGTTACGTCATCGTACTCAAAGGATTAAGATATTTCAGTGGGCAAATTCATTGTATTCAGGGGTTTGGCATCGTACACAAGTGGTTAAGACTGTGCAGGAAAAAAACATAATGAAAACATATTGAAAATTTTAAAATTCGAAGATATCAACACCTACTGCTGTGCCCTCTTTGTTTACAATTCTATCAATCACTTGCTTGACAATAATTATTTCCAGTTCCGGAATAATCAGAGATGCAACTTAAGGCACTCAGAGTTACTAAGACCGCCCCCCATGCTCTCCTCTCGGTCCCAGACCTCCATAAAATATCACAGTGTGAAGGTGTGGAACAACTTACCCCCACCCATTAGAGCAAAGACTACGCTCCCTTCCTTTAAATCATCTCTTAAAAAATATCTATTGTCTAAGTATTAATATTTCTTGTAACACCTACTATATTTACAGTACCTGTTTTTATTGTACCATCAAAACCGTTTTATCGGAAATTATCATGTAAATAGATAAGTAATTACCTTTGCAAAAAACATATTTGCCAACTAGACATAATCCTGACAGCTCTGTCCTCTTGTTCAACCTTATTCCTGTACAACCCATGTTGTACTGCTCCCCCATTATACTTATGTTTTCAATTCCACTGTAATGTATGTATAAAAAAATAATAATAAACATTGAAGTGATAACCGTGGTAACATTATGAGATGTTCTTATTACCACCATGCTATTGTACTATTCTAGATGATACTAAATGTTACATAATACTTCCTTGAGATAAATGTATAGTATATATCAGGTGCCTAAAAGAGAGCTCAGGTTCTCAACTGGCTCATCCATGTTAATAATGTTATTATTATCCACTCTGTATCTGTGTTTTTCTGGCTAAATAAACTGTTCCAATTCAATTCAATTCAATTCAACAAGCAGTTGCCATCGTATTCAAATAATTAAGACAACTTTGCGGATAAATTCACTGTACTCAGGCAAGGATGGTGCCAAGACACCCTCACCTCACCTCACCTTAACGTTATAAACAAATATACACTAAACATGGAACATTGTGGTGTCGGAGTTCTTTATTAATTCACCTGAACGAACATTCTGAAGAGTAGCTCCCTGTATCTGACCATAACAATGTGAATATTGTAGGATGTTGATTGGTTCATTCAGAAAGTTGCTCCAGTAATCAAGGAATAACAGCACACATTAGTCTTACCATTAATTTGTATGTATGTATGTATGTATGTATGTACGTCGTAGGCGACCTGTGGTGTAATGGTTAGCATGCTCGCCTAGCAAGCGAATGGACCGGGTTTGATCGCAGGCAGGATGAAACTATGGGCAAGATTCTATACGCCATTTGCATCTGTCTACCCAGCAGTAATTGGGAACCTGGATGTTAATCGATTTGCGGATCGTGTTCCGGGGTAATGGTTAGCCAGTGCAGTTGGCGAGCTGTCCGGTCTTCTCGGACTATTCTTGACACTGGGTCATGCAGCTCGTTAACTCAGGGTGTGGTTGTTGTGTTTACGACAGCTTCTACACCTTAAACAAATTCACGCCTAGGTGGCCCCAGGGCCGGCCATCCTCGTACACGAGGGGCAACCATTATGTATGCATGTATGTACAGTATGCATGTATGTATATATCATTCCTATATCCATGTGCATATACAGTATACAGTATGTTTACAGGGGTTCGGTAGATTACCTAAATAAATGAACAATGTCTCCAAATTACAGATGATATAATACAAATAAAGTAAGTGAACATAATAAAATATTCATCAAGTACGTCGCATCTCTCTTATAGTAAATGACCTGATATGAACAATATATTAACTGTAGACGAGAAACTAATGTTGTTAACCCGAGTAAAGATTTGGATTAGTTTAATAGTTTTTGTTAATAGATATTGTTATGAATAAAGAAACAAAATCGATATAAGAACAAGTGTAATTTGTTACCTTCTTAACTACCTCATTTAACAAGAGAACTCCCTCTTATAGTGGTAGTTCCATCACAACTAAATCACCGTTAAATGTTCTGTAATTATCCTCTGTACCATAAATAACATTAATTGCTTCTTAACTATCATTCCAGTTGCTTCCTACTCTCTAACTACCTCATTCAACAACCTAACTACCTATATTGCTGATGCTTATAACTAATAACTATCCTAATCATAACTAACCACTGTTTATTAATCTTTCTCTTTATTAAAAACAATTCTTTGATTATCTAAACTGCCCTTCTAATTGCTAGTTAGACCTTACACATCATTAGTTATATTACTTTAATCATTAATTAGATCACTACAATCATTAGTTGTATCGCTACAATCATTAGTTATATTATTATAATCATTAGTCATATTACTATAATCATTAGTTATATTACTATAATCATTAGTTATATTACTATAATCATTATTTATATTACTATAATAATTAGTTATATTATTATAATAATTAGTTTTATTACTATAATCATTAGTGATATTACTATAATCATTATTTATATTACTATAATAATTAGTTATATTACTATAATAATTAGTTATATTACTATAATAATTAGTTATATTACTATAATAATTAGTTATATTACTATACTCATTAGTTATATTACTATAATCATTAGTTATATTACTATAATCATTAGTTATATTACTATAATCATTAGTTATATTACTATAATCATTAGTTATATTACTATAATCATTAGTTATATTACTACAATCATTAGTTATATTACTATAATCATTAGTTATATCACTATAATCATTAGTTATATTACTATAATCATTAGTTATATTACTATGATCATTAGTTATATTACTATAATCATTAGTTATATTGCTATAATCATTAGTATCCCATCCTTAACTCCTTAATTGCCGTAACAGCAAGTAATCAGCATAACTATCCACAAACTACCTCTTTGTAGTAATCTCCTCTTCTCATTAACTACCAGAAGCCCCTTAACGACCCTTTCACAAATTAATTGCTTCCTTACCTCTAAGATTCCCTACAATCTGCCCTTTAATTAATCTCTGATAAAACAACCCAGTCACTAATTATCATCAACTACCCAGCCTCAGAATTCACCCCCTAACTTTGCCTGCTAACTGCAAGTAATCATCCCTAATTTACAAACCTCAGTGTTCACCCCTAATTAGCTACAAAGACCATTATCCAAACTTACTGTCCATTAACTACCAGTATATAGTCCTATTTACCCACCAAGAACATTATACAACCCTTTACCCACCAAGACCATTAAACAAGCCTAACTACCAAGACCATTATACAACCCCAACTACCCATCAAGATCATTATACAACCTTAACTGCTCCACCCAAACCATTATACATGCCTAACTACCCACAAATGACCCTTATACAACCTTGACTGTCCATTAGCTACCGTACGCAGGTTGTCGACGCCGTTCTGAGTGGCAGCGTGGTCTGCTGGGCGTGGCGTGTCTGCTGGCGGTGGTGGCGCTGCTGCTACGCCCACGCTGCCTTGGTGGCCCGCCCTCTCTACTCCCTCGGAGGTGAGAACTTTCGTCAACCTTCCACTACTTTAGACAATATTATATCATCTTCACAAACTTCCTGGGTTTATTATCACCATTTCTATTTTAAAACAAGTATTATCACCATTCACTATCTTTAAACACGTAGTATCACCATTCACTATTTTAAAACACGTAGTATCTGTTCATATTTTTAAAAACACATTCAACATCCACTATCTTCAAGCTTATTTTCATTCTATTTAAAATGCATTAGTATCATACTATCTTTAAACGTAGTATCACCATTCTCTATCTTTAAACACGTAGTATCAACATCCACTATCTTTAAACACGTAGTATCACCATTCACTATTTTAAAACACGTAGTATCACCATTCACTATTTTAAAACACGTAGTATCAACATCCACTATCTTTAAACACGTAGTATCACCATTCACTATTTTAAAACACGTAGTATCAACATCCACTATCTTTAAACACGTAGTATCACCATTCACTATTTTAAAACACGTAGTATCACCATTCTCTATCTTTAAACACGTAGTATCAACATCCACTATCTTTAAACACGTAGTATCACCATTCACTATTTTAAAACACGTAGTATCACCATTCACTATTTTAAAACACGTAGTATCAACATCCACTATCTTTAAACACGTAGTATCACCATTCACTATTTTAAAACACGTAGTATCAACATCCACTATCTTTAAACACGTAGTATCACCATTCACTATTTTAAAACACGTAGTATCACCATTCACTATCTTTAAACACGTAGTATCAACATCCACTATCTTTAAACACGTAATATCACCATTCACTATTTTAAAACACGTAATATTACAATTCACTATCTTAAAACGCATATTATCACCATCCACTATCTTAAAACACATATTATCATCATTCACTATCTTAAAACGCATAATTATTAACCACCATCAACTAATTATTATCACCATCAACAAATTATTGTCACTATTTACTAAGTCAACGAACGTATATGATCACCATTCACTATATCGGAACACCAGTCATTACTCTTCACTTATAAAACGTATATCACCGTTCACTAACTTAAAAGACGTATTGTCACCACTCATTAACTACATCCTACTACCACTTCCGAACCCACTACCACCACCAGCAACTAGACCAACCATTACTACCACCACTTTCGACAACAACAATCACTACAACCATCATTACCACCACCACCACCACTATCACAACTACTATTTCCACCACCAACATCAGCAACAACTACCATCACCACTAACAACAATTACAATAATCATTACTACCAACACCATCACCTCAAACCACCAACACCACCTCACCTCACCAACATTATCATTACCACCACCACCACTACCACTACCACCACTACTACCACCACCACTACCACTCGCAACTCCCACAATATTATAACAACATCCGAAATCCAATCAGAAATCAGGAGACTTGATAATACACAAATAATCGTCCCCCACTTTGATCTCTGGCGGTTTCCTGATTTAATTAACTCATTGGTGTAAATTACGGGAGCTTTAAAGTAAATTAATAATTAATATGCATGGATTAATAATTAAATATGCACGATTTATTTCATGTGGTTATCAGATTACACCCACGTCAAAATATAATTATATATATAGAGAGAGAACAGAGAGATAGATAGCGTTAGAGAGAGATAATGAGACAGATACACGGAGTGAGAGAGACAAGTATCCAGCGAGTGAGAGATATAGAGATACAAAAAGTGAGAGATAAAAATGAGACAAAAATATACAGAGTGAGCGAGAAAGATATAAAGAATAACAGATAGAGAGATATAAAATGAGGAAGATAAATAACTAGAGGAAGATAATGAGAAAGAGAAATATTAAGTCACACACACACACACACACACACACACACACACACACACACACACCCAGCACACACACACACACCCAGCACACACACACACACCTTTACAACCTCCCCAACACACACAACACTCCCTCAACACACACAAAAACACTCCCCCAAACACACACACAACACTCCCCCAACACACACAACACTCCCCCAACACACACAACACTCCCTCAACACACACAAAACTCCCCCAAACACACACACAGAGAGAGAGAGAGAGAGAGAGAGAGAGAGAGAGCCTATGTCAGATGAATAATATTAGCTGGCCCAGATAAATATCTTACCTGAATCTAAAGAAGCCATAATTAAGTTGATTCTAAACTCAGGTGAAGAAATTACCTGAGTCTACGGCAAATGAATAATTTAGCTGAATATGAATTACATCATAGTTTAAGGTTCGGGAATAATATACAGAGTAAGTGAAGTCTAAACTAGATGAATAACTTAGCTAACCCTAGACCAAGGAAATGATCTAGCTGGAGTTATACAAATTAAGTCATTCAGCTAAGTCTTAAACCAAATGAATAACTTAGCTAAATTTAAACAAAATAAATAATACAGCAAAGTCCAAATCATATGAATAATTTATCTGAGTTTACTCCCATAAATAATGAAGTCTGAACCGTATGAATAATTCAACTCAACCCTAAATCAGATGAATGATTTAAGTGAATCTCATCCACATGAATAATTATCAGGTGTTCGTGGTAATTATAATAGGCTTCTACTTTGTCACTCATCACCCCAACCACCTCCCCACACCCCCACCCCCACATTAACCCCCCCCCCCACCACACTACACAGCGGGTATTATCGGTGAATGATTCGTTATCCCTCTGTGTGTCGTCTCCTAATTATCATATTCCTTTATCCATGGTTTATCAGTGTCTCCATGAATGTGTGTTGAGGGAGTGTTGTGTGTGGAAGTGTGTGGTGTGTATTGAGAATGTTGGAGTGTGTGGAATGTTGTGTGCTGAAATGTGTGTGTGTTGAGTGCTGGTTGTGTGTGTGAGAGTGTTGTGTGTGTGTTGGGGAGTGTTGTGTGTGCTGTGTTGTGTGTGCTGGGGTGTTGTGTGTGTGTTGGGGGAGTGTGTGTGTGCTGGGGAGTGTTGTGTGTGTTGGGGAGTGTTGTGTGGGGAGTGTTGTGTGTGTTAGAGTGTTGTGTGTGTTGGGGAGTGTTGTGTGTGCTGGGGAAGTGTGTGTGTGTTGGGGAGAAGATGTTGTGTGTGTTGGAGAGTGTTGTGTGTGGGGAGTGTTGTGTGGGAAGTGTTGTGTGTGTTAGAGTGTTGTGTGTGTTAGAGTGTTGTGTGCTGAGAGTGTTGTGTGTGTGAGAGTGTTGTGTGTGTTGGGGAGTGTTGTGTGGGGAGTGTTGTGTGTGTGTGCAGGAGTGTTGTGTTTGTGAGGAATGTTGTATGTGTTGGGGAATGTTGTGTGTGTTAGGGAATGTCGTGTGTGTTGGGGAATGTTGTATGTGTTAGGGGTGTGTTGTGTGTGTTGGGGAATGTTGTATGTGTTGGGGTGTGTTGTATGTGTTGGGGAATGTTGTGTGTGTTGGGGGAATGTTGTATGTGTTGGGGTGTGTTGTGTGTGTTGGGGATTGTTGTGTGTGTTGGGGGAATGTTGTATGTGTTGGGGTGTGTTGTGTGTTGGGGGAATGTTGTATGTGTTGGGGTGTGTTGTGTGTGTTGGGGTGTGTTGTATGTGGTGGGGGAATGTTGTGTGTGTTTGGGGAGTGTTGTATGTTCTGGGGAGTGTTTTATGTGTTGAGAGAGTGTTGACTATGTGGTGGGGCCTTTTGTAGAGGCTTATAATATGTGTTGCACATATATTTACCTGTATATACAGTGTGTACACTTTTTCACATATATGTAAAAACCTGATATTCCTTAAAGTACATCAAATACTCAGTAGAGCCATAACCTTTAACTTAAAGCTCACATCGTCTTCATCAGAAATTTAATCAGTGCTCTGAAAAAAAACCGGTTCAATGAAAACAAATTTGTCTTTCTTATTCAATAAAATAATGAATAAGACGCATTATTATGCTTATTTCACCGTATTAATGGCACACCAGGTGAAAAACTTTTATTCTGATTATACATTACAATTATTAAGGATATCATGAAGATCAGGCACCCCAGATTATTTCACCTGATGATTAAACACCCCCTAACGCTACCGCGGGTTAGGTTAAGTAAGCGTTGGGGTGTTTTAATCATCTGGTGGAATAAGCTGGGGATCGTAATCTTCATGTGGTCCATTTCTAATCTTTATATCGTTTATACTCAGCTAAATCATTTATCTTAGTCTACTCTATCCTCTGATATTTATTCTTTATCTTTCTAAATGAAACCTTTTAACGAATCTTTGTATTATAATTTCTAGGGTTACAAAAGTAGGTTATGCGCTGTATATTTAATAGTCGAACTGAAATACAGATCCAAATTGGTTCTAATTTGAAGACTCGGACATAAGACGTAATGTAATATAAATTTACTCAATTTACACCCGAATCAGAGACTGAATCATCAAAATACAGCATCCTGGAAACCTGCCACGTCCTCTGTTCAAAATGCTCATTCACATTACAGTCGTGTGTCACGGAATGAGATCACGAGACACAATTATCTCTCGATACTGAACTACACATTTTTGTTCTTTTTTAGACACATCACCTGCTACGTGGGTGACAGCCCCGAATGACTCAAATGAATGCCAATCCACTCTCACTCACTCAATGATACACCTTTTTGACCATTTCGCAGTGACGTAGCTTATGAGATGAAATCCATAAGAGATAAGACCAGTGAGATGCTTCTTTAAACGTTAGAGCCAGAAAAAGTAGCCAATGAATGACAAGTAGAATAACAGTCGACCAATAAGAGACACCAAGACTTGACCATAAGCTGCGTTAGTGCGGCTTATCAATAGCTCTTAGTCAGTCAAATATTGAGTCTAATTACACATTTAACTGGAATATTTGAGGATTATGGTTTACTATAAATTTGTTGGCATTGAATTTAATGAATTACCCTAAGTCGATGATGGGAGAGACTATACGTGTATGTAAGATTGCATTAAATT